AGCATCGTGGCAAGGGCAGGGCTCTATCTGACGTGTCTGCAGGAAGAAGAGTCGCCCTGTGGGGAGGTGGCACTGAAACGGGACCGCTCTTTTTCGGAGCATGACCTGGCCCAGCTCCGGAGTGAAATGGCCTCTGGCCTGCAGCCAGCCACACAGCCCCCAGGAGGGACGGAGCCACCCCAGCTCCGAGCAGGCAGCATGCACACCTGGAAACCCAGCACCCGAGACCAGGGCAAGTGCTGCTCCCACCTCCTGCCTGACCTTTCCCTCAGATCTGCCCAGGGCAGCTCAGGCCCAGGCCGTCCTGAGCAGGTAGCTCCCGAGGGTACAGGAGCTGCTGCTTGCAATAAGACCTTCAGTCTCCCATTGACACCCCCTTTCTCACTTGAGGACATTTTCATTTACTATAAAACATTTCCTCAAGAACTTGATTCTCCAGCCTCACTATATCTCAAGGCAGCTGACACACAGCAGGGAAGCTGCCTGGCCAGACACCAGCCAGCTCACAGTCCTCTCTGTGGACAGAAGCAGGAGTCCCTCAGAGGCATGTGGGTCGTTCCACAGGTTCCTTTCCCGCTGGAGGACACAGAGCATCGGCTGATGCTTGCGGCCAGGCAGGGTTAGTTCTTCTGAGAGCTGTCAGGTAGTGGGTTGTCAGCCCCCAGGGATGGCTGGCCTCTTGGTGGCCTGCATGGTCCCCTGAGCAGCCCTGCAGCCTTCTGGCCACTCTCAGGACAACCCATTGGTCCTGATGATTCAATTTCCGGGTCGGAGGCTGGGCCAGGCCTTTCTACACCATGTGCTGCCCAGGTCTCTCCCTGGGCCAGTTGTCCCTTTTCCCCTGCCCTGGAGCCTCCAGCATACATGTGGGAAGGGGACCCTCCTGGTGTGTGCCTGCCAGTTCTCAGACTGCCTGCTGCACCACGGGGGCTTAATGCTGGCTTGTCATGGGGCTCAGTAGAAGGACCCTTCAGGGTCCCATGTGGCCTCTGAAGAGCATGGACCCTGGTACAGGTCCCCACAAGGGGGACATGCTTTCTACTTGACTCGATCATCCTAGCCCACAGAGGCACGCACCACCCCCTTCACTCACAGCCCTCCAACCAGCACTCCACCAGGTGACCCTCATAGGCCTGTGTTCTTTCAGGTTCCTGTCCTGTGAGTGTCCAATACCAGCCGGATCCCAGCTCCTCCCAGCTCAGCAGCCTGAGCTCAGCAGACAGACTTGAGGCTTCTGCACCAGATACCAGGCACCTGTGGTTGGTGAGTGATGGTCCTGTGGGGACCTCTTGAGTGAATCTTTATGATGTCTGAGCACCAGCTGGTGCTAGGGAGACCCAGGCTCCAATCCTGGGGTCTGGCTGGGTCTGGCCTTGTCCCCGAAGCCTCAGGTTGTGCTGCTGGTGCTGTCTGGGACACTGGTCTTTGCTGCCCCCTGCTGGAGCACATTGGCACTGTGACCCCAAGGGTGGAGTGTGTGAGTTGAGGCAGCTGTAAGCCCTGAAGGCTGCATCCTGGGCCTTCTGTGTAACATACATGCTGAGAGATGAGACCCTCACCTGGCCAAGATTTTCCTGGTTCTCGGTCTATCAGCAGAGACCAAGTCTGATGCAGGGTGGTGCAGAGATTCTGCCTAC